GATCTTCGATGATAATCCGGCAAATCAAACAAAACAGCTACAATCAATCAGTTATTTATGATACAGTTTTTTTTGTAATTAAATATTTGTTTAGAAACATTACCAAACCTTTCATATCAATTGTCGGCCACCAAATTGGAATTTGTTTTCAAACGTATAAATTAAAACTATCACAGCCGATGGGAAATAATTAAACATTGCCGTTAAAAGAGGAGGGAGGAGGTACCATCTATTTAACCAGCACAATATGTTCATCTCTACCCTCTAATTTGCATTCGTTTTGTACATTTTAATGATAACACTCTGCTTATTGCAATTCTAGACGATAATCCTCTGAATGCAACTTTCAAGTAAGTACAATCGAATATGCGCATGCGCGTTGTGATCAAATATAGACAAGTTTGAAAGAAAAGAAAATCAAAGAATGACTGGTTCTTGAAACTTTTTTATTATTGACTGCGTTTTTCATGGGATTCATTGCTTACATGTTCCTTAAAACCTTATATGCGAGTTTGGAGTGAAATGCCAAAATATCTCCCCACATTTGTAGTGATTTAATGCATTCTTCCGTGTTAAAATATGTAAATAAAATACATATCAGTATTTCTTTAATAACAAGACCTTCATAACTATGATGTGTTATAAATTTATTATTGATATCTAACTTGGGTAATAACCTAGTCTATATTATTTGTCAAGTCATTGCTTATAACCCAAAACGACATTGTCAAATTTTGTGGCACCTCACTATGAATAATAAAACGTTACATAAAAATTCAAACCTATACATTTAAAATATTCTATTTATATACTTCCATCTCGTAAATGTTATTCACATCACCGACAAAAGAATGTTTGTGACGGAACACACATTTTTTACAATTTTCAATATACAAACACCTCAGCGTGACACTGTTGACAGTCAGTGATAGGGAAATTAATAAACTCCGCCATTTAATACGCGTTTAAAATAGTCCAGGACAAACATAATGTATACATGCGCGAAAGCCCGTGACGTGAAAATAAACGCTTATAAATGGTTGATCAGATAGGCAAGCTTTCGAATGCAATTTGATACAGAAGCATAATATCTAGAAAATCAGATACGGTTTAAGGCATTGTTAAAGTAAAGATTTATTGATGAGAATCGCTGATACCCGGGTGTAACAAAAGTAATTAATGGGCCATCTACCACGCCCAATGTACAGACGTTGACACCAAAGCCCGAACAGATACTTGTCAAAAGATTATCTATATTGTCTGTTACGTTTCTGACGGACCGTTAAATGAAATTTGATTCAGCCTTGTCAGTGATATCAGTAATGAATGCAACTGTTGAATGGCGAGAAAAAAACAACAACACAAACAAAAAAGCAACAAAAGCAGTACACTACAAGCTGTTTCAAGATGTACAACCAAAGAAGCCAAAGGTTCTTGTCTGCAATATAGCCATTAAGAAGTATCAAAAATATATATGGGCTTGCAAATAAAAAGAAAGAAATATTATCATAACACATTTATGCAGTTAACATTGGACACATTTTCTATAACTTTTTTTTCAAGTAGAAATATTATGTCATTCAGATATTATTTTCAAAATTTTGTTAGGGCAAAAATAATGATTAGGTTTTAAGTGATTAAGTATGAGAATGTATATGATGAACAATAATATTTTGTTTTAAGACATATTATTTTCTGCTATTTAAATACATGTTATATTTGATCATGCATCTCACACTTGCCAACAGCATCCATGTATATTTGTATTGTTCTTTCGTGTTTTATTCTTTATATACTATCAACGTATTTATTGATTGTATTACAGACCTCCCATTATAGACCATTTCACTTTAAGGCCAATAGTAAGCAAACTTCCAAGCCAGTCAAATAACTTTTATCCTTGCAAAGACTTGCTTAATATCACACTTGAGTAATATGACTAATGAAGAAAAGTAAGCAAATGGGTTAGATGAATCGGTTACTTCAGTTACAGAGCAGAAATAAATAGATCGGTCTTGTATCATTGAAACTGAAAACAATGTTGAGATATGCCTAAATCTCTTATAAATCTTATTTATAACAGTGATTGTTTCATGGTTGCTTTACAAAACCAAAACTTATAACATGATAATAATAATGAGCCAATGTACATGATGAACATGATGTGAGTAAACAATATATAATAATATACTTATGATTCATTAATCCCAATTCAAAACAAATCATAACTCTTTTCTGTTTTTGTTTTGTTTTGTTCCCCTGAATCATTCTTTTCGTAAATTGCACCGTTCCATTTTCAGAATATAACTTTTGCATTTTATTACCAATGCTACAAATGTGTCATTAATGTACCGATTAGACTTTTTTTTGTGTATCATTGTCGGCTATTGAAAGTGAAAATTAATTGTGGGGCATTTGAATCATATTGTTCAATATACCGACCGGGTGGTCTTTCACGATTGATTTCTGCTTTTCATGAAAATAAATGATTACTCATTAACATGAACTTGTTGAAATATTTTATTTACATTGATCATTAAACGAAGAATGAAGGCCTATAATTATCAATGAATTGAACATACCTGAATGGCCATGCTTAAAGCTGAGGTATTTTACATGACACTCTACTTGTGTATGAGTGTACATGTGTAGTTTATTTTGCCTTTCCGTGCAATTTAAATTAGTACATTTGCCATTTCATCAATGTAGTATTGAACCATAACATTTTTGTTTGGGTATATTGCAAGGTGCTGAAATACCTCCTTAGTGTTTCTTTATACAAAGGTGTGACCACCTATGAGTTAAACAAGATGGCACCCACTGTATATACAAATTTTGGTTTCCATGTAACTTACATGCAATTTGCTTTGTTTTCTTCCTAAAAACACTACATTTTCTGATTAAAAAAGCATGCGCAGGTTAATAAAACATATAAAGTTAGTAACAAATTTCATTAATTAAAGGATATGTTTACGTAACTACATATTGTAATGATTGTACATTATTACAATGATTGTTAAGCGTATTTTATCAGAACATACATGATATTGCGCCTTCTGAAATTACATAATTGACTATCTAAATAACGATTGCACCTGAGTCACCGATGTTCATATGCTTTATTTAAACTTGCAAGTTTCCTATTTTCAAAGGTAAATAGTCGGCTTTGTTGCAATGTGGACACCTCTTTTATAACAAGTTACACACTATTCAAAACGTGTAGATCTTTTTAAATGTTATAACATTCAACTGTAAATATTGAATAATAGTTTGTTTGCACTTTTCATGATGACTTGAGTCAATCGGATTGTATCTCATGAGGATACAATTCAAGGACATGATAAGGAATTGGCATTAAACACAGGCAATACGGCAATTAATAAACATGTACAATTTCAGAAACATCTTTATATACGATATCTAATATGATAAAATATGATGATGAACATGTGATTTTAATTAAAAAAGTTCGAAAAACATTCCGCGTATTGAATACAATCTGACACACATGCCACTTATCAGAAAGGTTTAAAAATGAAATACACGAATATTACTCGAGTGGTTTACGCGTCGGACTAGTAATCTATGGATTGGTGACGCGTTGGTTCAAACCCCATCAGGGGTAAACCGTCATTTTTTTGGGCAAGAAACTTTACACTCATTGCTTGGTACTTGTTAGTTCCAGGAACGGATTCTAGACACACAATCGAACTTAAATGAAGTTGTATTTACTAAACACGATATGTTTCATTAAATCAGTAAAAAAATGCATTTCCATCTGGTGTTAAGAGCTAATACACAAACCTGATCACAGCATTCACAATTATTACACATCAAACTGTGTAATTGTTTCGTCATGACATCGCTCATTGTTATCATTAAAAAGACATCAAAATTTTAATCAACACATTGATTTATCGAGGAATTCATGAAAAGATAATTGTTAAAATATTTACATAAACCATGAGGTAGCATACTTGCTGTGTAACAGATTGGGCGCCTCTTGGTGAACGCCCGAATGTTATTAAAAACTTACGAGCACAATATGGATAACGGCATAAAAGTGGGCAAAACGGGTAAAAATGCAAATGAACACTCTATTCGAAAATGCGGTTTATTAATTATATAAAAATGTACTATAGCAAATTATTTGTTTTACGCCATGTTAAAGCAGGGTATACAGAAAATGCAAATAACCAGCGTGTTTTAATGCTTTCGAATCAGAAATTGCGTCGTGCTTTAGTTATAAATGTCAACAAAATCGAAAGCAGATGAAGCAATGCGGCAATAATGTGGTCGCAGTAAAACAATAAACCATGCCGTTTAAATTACAGAATCAGAAGAAGATTCTATGACAATGAGGGTATTATTTTACTAGAAATAGACGAGATTATAAATCACAGAGAACAATGACACACAAATTTGAAACGCATTACAAAAATAAATTATGTCTAAGTTATTGCTAAATGATGATCATAAACACTGCTTATTTAACGAAAGAGCACTTAATTATAAATAATACAAGCATAGATACTAAGATCCAGTTCTTAAAAATGAAACATGCGTCACCATGTCACATAAAAATACTTGCGCAAAAGTAATGCCTACACATTATGACATAATAGATAATCTTTTAAAGACCAATGGAAATACAGCTTATATTCAGTTCATCCCTGTAAATTTTACAGGAAGTCAACCCGTTCTCAGATGGACTTCGACCGAAAATAAAACATCATCGTAAAACTAAACCTACTAAAACGTAAAACCTGTCTAAAGGTGAAATATAGACTTGATATACCGGTAAATGATAAAACATAAATGCCCTTATAAAATTTCAGTTACATAAGTTTCTATATGCATTGCCTGATTTAAAACATTTTTTTTTAAGTCGAAGTTTAAAAACTATTTCCCAAGAGTAAAATTCATCAAATGAATCAATCTTTTTAGCACATTTTTAGGTACTATATCAATGTTTGAAAAATGATTGCTTTCTCTTACAGAGAGATGATGGAAGAACAATTCCAACAGACAATGCATCATCATCACCACCAGTCGTTTCCACCAGCGCCCCCTATGATGACCCATGGTCACCATGATTACAGGAATGATATTGACATGTCCGCTAAAATGATTGATGATATGAGAATGAACATGGGGATGCCAATGGTGAAAAGTGAACCTTTGCCCCCACATTACCCGTTTGCCCAACCTATGGACCACCGGCTTCACTATTCCGTACCAGCAGTATGAAATATGTTTGATCTATGTTGTTATTAAGTTTAACAAATGTTTTGACGTCTCAGACCCCTTAGATAAGGGCAACAGACAAGAATGAAATAATTTATCAGTCCGGATAAGACGGATATTCATATGTGTGAGGACAAGCATAATTTTAAAAGAAAGCTATTGCCATGGGTTATGATTCAAGATCGGTTCTAACCTACAAAGTCGATCTAAATTGCAGAGGACAACAACTTTGCCTGCCACCACTTGGAAATTGATATCTGCTCTTGGAAGTTAATGTTTTGTTATTATACGTAAAGGTTGAAACTATTAAACCAATAGAAAGGTGTACTATTTACATCTTGCATTTGGCCTACTCCTTCAGGAAGGATCTTGTCGCAATGGTAAAGTTGGAAAGTTCGTGTTTGTGAATTGTTTATCATAGAAAGCTAAACCAGTCGTAAATATCAGGAAATAATAATTCAAACATTCCTCGTCAGCGTTCTGTGGAAACTAGTATGAAACACGAACGGAACTTTTTAAACATGAATCTCTTGTGGAATTTACGTATTTGATCAGTTGGTGATAATTGTTGTTAGAGTGAATGAACAAACGTCTATTAAAGTGATGATAATCTAATACACATGTACAATACTTTCTTAAGTCTAGAACTGAAAATTCAATTTGACTCACTAAAAGTTATGTTATTTATTTATATAACTAATTCTTTCTTTCTTGTGCCTATTTTAAAGAGGCACTGTTATGAATTAAAAGGCTGTTTAAGTAAATTGTGAGCATTCCTCAAATGGGTGTATCTCTTAACGTGTTTATTACACTTTTTGACAACGTACCATTTCAGATTAACAAAATATGGTTTGAACATGCTCTTGCTTTATCTTTTGTTTTTGTTTTTTCTTAAGGATAAAAGTGTTCTGATAATACAATTGTCATTGTTTTCTTCGGAGAGTTAACATGTCACTGATAAATTTGACATAAATTAACAATCTTTTATTTGTTTGGTAATAAAAGTAGGATAGGCAATGAAAGTAAAATGTATGTGTTATATCATTTATATAAAAATAAAATTTATATTACTTTTCTTTTGTGAAGATCTATTTTTATGATATTCAACAGTGATCACATTTTTAAAACTCCTGTATTCGCTGGCAGTGTCTTAATGAACATTATTATTTAAAGTTATAGTATTAAAATGCAAATATTTTATTTTATTATTTGGATAGTAATTTGGAGTTTAAAGCTACAAACGCATTTGAGTTCATATTTTTAATATTGAATAGAAAAACATTTTATGGTGAATTTGAGTAAGTTAACATGGATATGAATAAAAAACTAAACAGTACAATAAATATTTTGAAAGATTCTTTATTTTTAAAATAAATGTTTGGTGTAAACGATTTATGTTATTTTTAAATGTATTACTTGTACTGTGTATACATGTGAATGGAAATGAAAAAAGTGAATTTTTGAATTTATGAATTACTCTCTATGTAAAATGTACAGTAGTTGTGCATCGTACAATATAATGATTAGGGAAAGAAACCTGGTATATAAATATCTGAAAAAAAGGATCCTTAGAAGAAGCATTAAACAACAAAATTCCTTGAAAATTTCAGACTCGGTTTGACTGAGTTTGTACGTGAGGGATAACGAAAGAGTGCAACATCCCTCTAGCACCCTGGCACCGGCTTGAGCGATACTCAATGTGCTGCAATCAATTTTGAATTTCAGTTTGTTAAAGATTTGGACTGAGTTCAAAATTTGATACAAATAGAGTTGCTAATTTTGAACATTTTTGTAAGGAATGTTGAAGACAATCAATCGAGACTGGTAAAGTACAAATGATACATCTGGTGAAATAAATATTATACATATATATAGGCCTAAACAAAAACAACATAATAAAAATAGTACAAATATTTGATACCGATTAAGAAATACATTTTTTATGTCATAAGATCATACATATGATATGGCGGATTGATACAAAATATCAATACGCTTAAAAGATAGATTTAAAAAAAACATCGACAAATCATGCCTTTTTGTACAAAAAGTTCTCTCTGACGATGAAATATCACTTTTTGTACATGTTGTTTTGAAGAGTATCATTTTTACTATACCAAGATCGTGTAATACATCATTTTTTCTCATCTCTTTGTTATACTACTTCGTTTTTTGCTTTTCAATACGCAATATCATTTTACATGTATACATGAATTTTGATCAAGAACAATACATTAAATGTCATGGATGTAAAACTCATACGTTTTGTGTTTTTCTTATATTTGAAGTTACAGCAATGCGTTGTCTCATAATGTTTTGATTGTAACTAATATTGGGTAGTGTCTATGATAGGATTTAAAAAAAAAACAGGGGGATTTTATCGAAAAGTGATAATTTTAATATATTTGTTGATCTTTATCGTAAAATTTTCCCCAGACTCTGAAAAATGGGAAAATTCTCAAAAATTTGAGTGAATCCCCCATTCCCCCCTCCTAGAATAGACACTAATTGGGTTATTACTCAGACAACATTGGAGTTTTGGTCTTTTTGTAGAAAATGTTTGTAAAAAATAGATATCATATATATTTTATATACATCTATATCAACAAAATAATAAAGTCTGCAGACGATTGGCAAGGTTCATGTGACAATTATTATCTGATTATTTTGCCTGGATGGCGCCTTCATTAGGATTAAAATCATGACAGCGTCTTTAGCAAAAAAGTGTTGGTTTCTAACAGAATTTCCAAAGTCATCAGACCAAATTTTCGATTTATAAAATGACTGACAAATAGATAGACGAGAATAAGTTGGAACACAATCGGAACGTCTATTATTCTTGGACGGAAAGAGCTGAGAGGATGCGTTTGGTTGAAACATTGTGTTTGCCACAACTTTAAACATAGCCAGAAAAAGGTGTAAAAATGTGTCTAGCAATTTGTAAACGACCACATACACCAGCATTCTGTTGTGTAATTGTAATAATTGATTTTTTTCTTCGTTATTAACTCGCATGATTATTAACAGAGTAAGAAATATAAAAAAACAGACGTGCTGTAAAACGTGCTTATGTCCTGACAACACTTGCTCAGGTTTCGCCAATATAGTTGTTACAGTAAAATGTGTTAACTTGACGCTTTGAAGAGAATTATAAACCAACTTTAAATATAAACGGATAGCAAAATTTGCAATTTTACAGTGATATACGAATTAACAAATAATTATATAACTTTTTAACAGTTATCATTCTAAAGCTCTGATTCTAATTATAACATTGGAAGCTTCAAAAATGAAGCTATAAATTTAATTATCAAAATCCAAAACATTACTTTACATAATATTTATACAACTATCTTTGGAGAAGATAGAGCCGTAACTAACAACATCAAAACACCGTCAAACAATGCATGTCCGTCTCTGGGTTATACGGCTATAACGATACGATTATCATGCTATAGACAGCGTTATATACCATATATTCCATATATTAAATACAGAAAAGGTAGCTACTACAGGGGATTCAAAAACAAACGATTGTATCATAGGGTACCGGACACACTTATTTCCAACTTTATATTTTCCTTTTTCCTCACCCGATAGACAAGTTCCGCAGTAAATATTTGTTTAACATGTAAAATTATCCATTACGTAAATTACCTATATCGCTGCAACTAAAATGTCGTAAAATTATTAAACGATTTGACATTTTCGTCCTTATTCAAAAATGAAGTAATTGTGAAATGCCATGCTGAAATATTTATGAACTAGCCTTGCATAATCTTGCTATATGTAAAACATGTTCAAATACCAACATATTCAAATATCAGACGTCTTGCATAACTTTACTGACTTATGGGGTAAAACCTAGTTTACTGACTTATGAGGTGACACCTAGTTTACTGACTTATGAAGTAAAACCTAGTTTACTGACTTATGAGGTGACACCAAGTTTACTGACTTATGAAGTAAAACCTACTGACTTGTGAGGTGAAACCTAGTTTACTGACTTATGAGGTGAAACCAAGTTTACTGACTTATGAGGTGAAACCAAGTTTACTGACTTAAGAAGTAAAACCTAGTTTACTGACTCAAGAGGTAACACCTAGTTTACTAACTTGTGAGGTGATCTTGTGTTACTAGATACAAAATGTTTTAAGTAGGAAAAAAGAAAACAAGTTGAAGGTCATATGCAAACTTTCATGACCACTAAACGTTAAGAACTCATTTTAATTCTTAGCAGGTATATAAAGAAAGTATTAATAAACCAATGAATGTTCGTTAAAAAATAATCTAACAAAAAACACACCTCGGTAGTAACACCTTGGCCAACTCCATCTTATTAACATTAAAATGTTAAAAGCTTCCTTGTTGACGGCAACACAGTCACGTTCAGTGTCATTGGAATACTAGTATAGTAATACTGAAACCTAAGAACCTAAGATTTGATGCATTGACTAGCAGGCTTTTAATTCAATTTTCAAACTTTCTAACGAAAAAAGCAAAAGCCAGTAGACATGGCGGAGAGGATTTGCAACTTTCTATGCTCTTGCCCACGGTAGGTTCAAATAGAAATGTCAGATCATATCACAAAGACGTTAAAAATTACAGGTTTCATCTAAAAGTTATTTTTTAAGCAAAAATATTTACTGAAAACAAATTTGATTAACCAGCATTATAATAACGAAAGACTTTTTCTGTTTTTAAAGCGATTGTTTTATTTCTTTGATTTAGAAATCGAAAATGAGAATGTATGCCAAATCTATTTATACGAATTTTGTATGGCAATGTAACGTCACATAGTGTGATCGATCTGCAAATGGAATACACATCTCAAACACCGGAATAATTATATTAACTCTTATCATTTAAAATAATATGACGTTTTTAATTGCGATAAAAAATGATACATTTATTTAAAAAAGGTTTTTACCCTTGCCATTTTTGGGTCAATTTGCAAAAAAAGAATGTTTATTTTAGAAAACCGCAAATATTCGGAGATTTTTCTTATCAAGATCTACATCAAATGGTATAAAAATTCTTGAATTTATTTCAAGTCCTGCCATGTTAAAACACCTCAGTGGACTTCTTTCAGTTCAACATATATGAGGACGCTTCTCAATTTAGATGCAATTATAGTGATGGATGGACACCATGATTTGTGAAGTTTTCGGTCTGACCACTTAGCGGTATAAAAAAATTTCTGAGTTAAAGCCTCAAATCTCAGGATTTTCAAAGGTCATTGTACATTCTGAGCTTGATTTTACAAATCAAATACTGGAGATCTGTATTGGAGCTTGGAAAAATTCTTTATAACCTCGGACCCTGGTCATAAGACTGCCAACTTTACAGATCTCACCAAAGCCTGTTTTATTGTTTCAATGCATTCATATTTCTCAATAAAACTCCTACGAAAAGATAGATACACACTAGGTACTAGTAAACTTTTTGTAACTACATAAATCTTTTGCAATGTTTTCCTAGCTAATTACTTGCTTCATATCCAGTGCATTTTTATTTCTCGTCTCTCTTAAATTACTCAGCTATAATGGTACAAACCATCAATGATAGCATTAATAATTAATTTGTATACAATTAACAGGGGGAAATTAACAGATAACCATATTTCCACAATATTTTAGATGCAATACAATATGCCCAGTGTAAAATACACTACTCGGCGAAAAGGGGCATTATCTAATATTTCGCAAAAACTACCATTGGCGCGACTTCAACAAAATTTCACAATTTCACATTTTCAGATGAAAGTGGGAGGTATTCAATTACTAAATCATAATTATCTGTGATATGGTTCTTGTCTAGTGATGGGGATCATTAATCTTCCATGCCAGAGCTAGGGAGAATCAATATAGAGGTCGGATTACAATGCTAATCTACTAATCTATGACACAGCACAATTGAGCTGTGACAGCCAATAATATGGATGCGGAATACACTCATTTTAATTACAAAGTTGATCTATTTAAAGCCCCATAAGCGGATTTTCATTAAATCAGTGTTGTAAATTGTCTTTGTCTTTGCTGACATAAAAAACTAAATACAATTAAACGTTAATATTCAAGAAAAGCTAGTAACAGAGAATAAGATATAACGTTTTCAAGAAAGTATCTCAATCTGCTTTTTAATAATCTATATATAAAAGATATATACAAAATTGGTTCTCGGTCATTAAAGACGTTTCCGGGAGTAGTGCCTTTACATAGGCAAAGAAGAAATTTAAAACTAGCGAAGAAAATTAAGAAAAAAAATCTTAAAATTTCTGTTCGTCATTGGAAAAAAACAATAATTGAAACAAATTGATGAATATAATTTTGTGGTCACTATCCTTTCCTCTGGGTTAAATTCCGCTTGAAGGTGAGTTCTTTAACATTTTGAGGAAATAACTCAAAAGCAAATATATCGATACTTTATTTTTGTCATTCTAATTTTCAGTAATTATGCAAAGTTTAAAACAATAATGTTAAAATATGTTTTGCTATGCTTCGTTAAGTAAACATATTTCACATAAGCAACTATAGAATAGAATAATCATAAGCTTTATGCAAATGTTGCACCATGGTGCAAATCTGAAATTACTTGTTGAATTTAAAGTAATCTGCTCCTATTATACCTTAGAAATGCTGAAATTTTCATTTCTGAAAAACTTTCTATCTTACCTATCTTGTCACAGTTTCCAAAAACTATACATTTGCCATAATATAAATCTAAAAAAATATTTTTCTTTTGCATATTTTGCTCTGTTTGCAAACGGTATATATTTAGTGAATTAGTATTTTGTTTGGAATCTTGAAGCAAAGTGATCCCTAGGAAGCATTTATCACAACAAAATATCATGAAAATTGCATACTCGGTTTGATTGAGTCTGTAATGAGGGATACTGAACTAGTGCAACATCCCTCACGCCCCCTAGCACCGGCTTGAACGGTACTCAATTCACAACACTTAATAGTGCTGGCATCAATGATCCCGAAGGACCAGAAAAATATAACAACACTAAAGTAATGTACGAGACAATGTTTACAGCTGCCACACAGAACTTGACACCTGTTGTTGTGAAGTTTAAAAATCTGGAAACAAAGTGATCCCTCAGAAGCATTAATCAAGCATTATTTTAGAAGTCAAAATACTACATTGTTTACATATTGATACTTTTACGACACATCACTGCATTTCAGCCCTTTTTCAGTTGTTGAATATCTAACATGCTCTTAATCCATGCTCTTAAAACAAGATCAAAAGAA